CTATCTGCAGGGAGTGGGAGCGCGGGGCAGCCCGAGCTTCTGACCCACAGCTCTCAACACTGGCAGCTGTGGCCTGATTGGGGCATGGCCCCAGCTGAGGCTGTTTCCCCAAACAGCCTAGGGTTTTTCCTCTCAGCCCCAGCCCCCTACCAGGGCCTCTGCCAAACAAGCCCCAGGGCAAAATTCCTTACTGATCCCAAATATGGCCAGGGCCGGCTTTAGGAAGTGCGGGGCCCGATTCGGGGGAATTGGTGGAATTGGCCTAAAGCCGGCCCTGGCCATATTTGGGATCAGTAAGGAATTTTGCCCTGGGGCTTGTTTGGCAGAGACCCTGGTAGGGGGAGGGTTCACCTTCCTCTGCACTTGCAGGTTTAAACTAGCGTAAAAGGTGGATCATGATTTGAGGACTTCAGTAACTCAGCCAGAGGTTAGGGGTCTATTACAGGAGTGGGCAGGTGAGGTCCTGCAATATGCAGGAGGTCAGATTACATGACCATGATGCTCCTTTCTGACCTTACAGTCTATGAATCCATAGCAGTGAGTCTCAAAGCCCAGGTCAACTGACTCAGGCTCTCAGGGTTTGTGCTACAAGGCTAAAAAAGCAGCCTGGAGCCTGGGCTTTGAAACCAGTGAGGGGGTGGATCTCGGAGCCTGGGTTGTAGCCCAAACCCAAATATCCACACTAATATTTTTAGCTCTGCAGCATGACCCCTTCAAGCCCACGTCATTTAACCTGGTTTCTGAGACTTGCTGCAGTGGTTCTTTTATTTTGCTTTGTTGTCATAGAGTCAGTCCCAGGCAGTATTCAGGAATTAGCTGGAGCAGTGGTCATCTGGCTCCCTCTCTCTGGCCTGAAGTGGTCAGAACATCTCTCAGGATTAGAACAAAGATCCAGGGTCCCAGGAAATGGTGGGGGTGTGTAGCGGGGTGGTCATCCGCTCCAGCCCTGAAAGAGTTACAGCCAGCCCTGGGAGAGGGCTGGGGCTGAGAGGAAAAAACCTAGGCTGATTGGGGAAACAGCCTCAGCTGGGGCCATGCCCCAATCAGGCCACAGCTGGCCCTGTAAAAGGCTGTGGGCCAGGAGCTCAGACTCACTCTCTCTCCATCTCCCTGCAGAGAGAAGGGCCTGGCTGCTGGGGAGCTGAGCAGGGTACTGAGAGTGGAGCAGGGCTGGGGGAAGGTTAGAGGAGCTGGGGAGCTCCAGCCTAGAAAACCCCCAAGCTGCGGGCCTAGCTGAAGGCCTAAGGCAGGTACTGGGGCTGCAGAGGGGCAGCCCAAGGTTAGGCAGAGGCAACAGGTCCAAAACCCCCTTGCCAATGATGAGTGGCCTTTACAGACTGCAGTCAGCCCCAGTGAGTGGGGGCTAAATGGTGACTGGCAGTAGCCACTGAGGTGGGGATAGGGGGTTGGGGGTTCCCCTGAGTGGGGAGACCCAGATGGAGGGGTACTGCAGGGGGCAGAACCCCAGCACAAGGGGTACCAGGATCCGGGAGGGACACTGGAGCCAGCAGCAAGGCAAGACACTGGCCTGCAGAGGGCGCGCCGGAGGCTGGCGAGCTAATTCCCAGGATGACCAGCAGGAGGTGCTGCACCAGTGAGTCGTCACTGTGCTAAAGGGTGGCATCCATGACGGTGACGTTCATTCCTTCCCCTTCTTTCAGTCAG